CACACACACACTCACACAGTCCACTGTGTATCAATCCTCTCCATCCTCTTCATCTTCTTCCCCACAAAACTAAGGCGGAGAGATGTGAAAAAAGTGAGCTAGCTCTTTATTGATCTGTTTGTGCTACTGTGCGTCTGCTGTCTGCAGCTGCTGCTCGGGGCAGACTGTATAACATGCAGAGAAATAGAAAGTGCCAGATGACCACTGTCATAAAGCACTTTCCTCTGACAGGTGAACTAAAAATGCTCAAGCTAGGAATAATTACAGCATGTGGGTCGAAATTATTAATGTGTATTTTTTGTAGATACACGTCACTTAATGTGCGTTGCATGGTTTTATGTTCAATATATAGTGTATACAGTATTTAGACAGTGTACAGGGCTTTTTTCCTATGTTATGGGATGTTTACTTTGGCTACCTGCATCTGACACTACTTTTGGAGCGACCTAGAGAGCTCTAACCTTTCACAGTGCAACCAAATATTGAACATTAGACCAAATAATGTAAACACTTAAATGTTATCATTTCCAAAATTTACCAGCCACCAAGGTTAGGAAAGCGTTTTGATTTTTGAGCAAAAACCTATTAGAACATGGAAGTTGTTTGTTCACAACCACAATGACCACGAAGTGTGTTTTGCATTGCTGAGTCCACATTATAACATAAGTACTTTATATTCACTCATTAGCCAGCCAATCAGACTCACCCTGTGTGTCATCATTGTGCTCGGTGGCCTGCACAGCCTTGCGGATTTGCATGCGGATTATGTCAATTTTGGTCTTACTGTCCTGCAGCATCTGCTGGGCCGTCTGCAGCATCTTCTTATCCTGATTGGTGCAGAGACAAGGCAAGGAGCGAATCACAACACAGGAAGCAGGAAGATACATATCACAATACCATTGGAGCAACAAAGAGGAATCCTTTATCTTTCTTTCCTTTATTTTGATTGATGATAGATTTGTATTTTAGGACGTTTAAGCAATGAAACAGAGAAGAAAGTGGAGGTATGAGAGCAAGGTCGACTGGCAAGGTGAAACCTGCAGCATACAAAAAAGGGGGGAGGGGGTTTAAAGTAATCAAGTGATGAGGTGTGTGTATAAGGGAATGCGTGTCTCAGGTCCTACACATTTGGAGATCATCATCTGAGTCAGCAGATTGCAAGGATTATGAAGGTGCACACAGACACACGCTGTCAGTTATAAAGCAGCTGGGGGAGGGGTATAATGTGTACCATACCCGACAAAACCCTTTCTACAACCCCCTTGTGTTTATTATGTGCATGTTTGACTGTATTTATACACTTCTGAATTCTTGTTGGTGTTCAGGAATAGTTGAGGATTACATTATCTGAATGAATGTGTGTTGTCAATCTAACCACTCAACATTGTACTGCTGAGCCGTGTGAATGTGTGTGTGTGGATTAAAGTCTTGTACCTTAGTGGATCCATTGGAGTAGACAGGGATCATGTTTTCAACTCCCTGTTTGACTTTGAGCTCGATGTTGAGCTGTCTCTCCAGGGCAGCGATACGTTCCTTGTGGGCTGACGTCCGACTCTCGGCCCCAGGAGACTGAGGACACTCATCTGTGGAGAGAAGGAAAAGGTTGGAGAGGATATAAAAAGGAACAAGACGGGGGTTCACATGGTGTGGCCTAAAGTAAAAATACTCTACGGGGAATTTAATGTCAAGTAATATTGTTGAATTTCTGCAGCAGCATGTATGGGGTTGATATCCTGCATTATGGGAACATATCTGATGACATTGTTGTCCAAATGATTAGAGATCCACTACAGCATTTACCAGCTGGCAACAGACTGTGGCTTCCCCAAACCTTGTCCCACTCAGATACAGCAGGAAAAGATGAATCAGCAGGAAATATTTTTCCACCGCTCAGACGTCATTTAACAAGAATGTGCTAGAAAGAAATTAAATTCACCATAAAGGAAGTTTACAATGTTTACAGTGAAATGTGTGTATGCTGTATATCTGCCATGATTTCAAAAACTATATAAACTCCATACTCAAGCAGAGAAAGTGTAATTTATCTACAAATCTGTATCTGAAAACACCAAAATACACATTCATTGTTGAAATCAATGCATCAGGTGGAGATTTGTTGTTGATATACTAAAAACTGGCTTTCAAATAATAGCTTGTTGGGTCACTGTGAATAAAAATATGATATAATGATAAACGTTGCAGTAGTTAAATTAAGTCCATTCTTGGTTACATCAGGAACTACTTTTCAAGGAGCTAAAAGGTTCCTTGTTGTTTGTGTTTCCATCGCAGTCTCAAGACCCGCAAAGGTTCAGCTAATCAGTCCGCTGAATTATGAACGACAGCTGTTATTATACGTCATTTTTGTGCATGACTATACAACAACAAACAATGTCATAAGTCCATCTGTTGTATGCTTTCTTCTGTAAATCCATGTTGATGAGTTCATCCATGTTGATGCAGGGGGGTAAAATAATGTACCCTGAACTTAATTTAGACCCTGGTCCTCCAAAGGTTCCTAGTCCATGGGGAAAGCTCCGGTGGAAACGTGGCTAAAGGAAGCAAAGGTCAAGGTAGAACAACAGGGGTGACGGTTTTTCACATGCATACCTTTATTCTCTTCTCCTCCCTTCACCACAATGTGAGCGTCCAGTTCTTGCAGCTGAGCATGTAGGTTGTCCAGTCTGCGGTTAGAAGAGCGCAACTGGCTGTCCACCTGTAAACAAGAACAAATACAGTAGGTTTTGTGTGAAAACAGCAGTAAATTATAAAACTTGGACAACGTGTGGACATTGACACACACACAAGAATGTCATGGGAATAAGTTAAACCACTTCTACACAACATTTAACCTTCAATAATGTACTTAACAATGTACTAGTGAGGTGTCATTCATGTTCCTTTTCTGGAAAATAAATCAACATTCATCCCACCAAAAACTAGTACACCATAAACTCGAGTATTGCTGCTCACTTCTAACAACTGATGCCCAGCAGCTGTACTGGGAAGCTCCAGGAAGTAAATGTGTGAGCGGGTGTGGCATTCCTGCCCTGCTTCACAATGTGGAAATGTGTGCTCAGTGAGCCTACTACTGTGTAAATAAAGGTCAAGACGTTGGTCACATGAGGCTTTAAAAAAATCCCAGATCCTTCAGATAGTCCCAGCAGGATAAGAACTTAACATAACAGCAAATGTACCCAGTTCCGGTGAACGGGTATGTGACTGAATCACCAGTCACTGTTCCAGACAACAGTCATTAAACTGGTTTCCTGCAGTGGGGGCGAAGTTAAATTGATACTTTTCAACTTAAAAATCAGAGCGCTCCATGACCTCATCAAGATACTTTCTCATAATCAGTATATACAAGGGTAATTTTTCCCAATCATTTACCAGCTGGAAACCTGATTAAAAGGTTTTAATCCACAAAAAATAAAAAATGACTGGTTGGACAAGCAAAACGGCTGAGGAGTTTTGGTGGATGAAGGCTTTTAAAAAGGATCTAAGGAGAACTGGTAGTTTACCTGCTGAGCGTTCCTCTTGTCAGTCGTCGCCCTGCGTAGGTTCTCAGCTCCCTCCTTGATTTTCAGCTCTTTACGAATCTCCCTGCGGATCCTTTCACGCTGCTCGTCCAGAAGCTGCTGCACACTGGAGTCGGAGAAATCAGAGTTCTGGTCCAGACCGAGCTGCTCCAGAACCGACAGCCCATCTGGGTCACTCTGGACAGATGAACGGAGAGGGGAAAAAAAAAAACAAGTTAGGCAATATGGTTGTGAATAAAATAAAATAAAATAAAATAAAATCTTTGTCATGACAATCCAATGCTTAATTTACAACACAGTCAGCCTGGAGAGAGGAGGCGTTGAGAGTGAGGTAGACAGAAGAGGAAGAGATGGTGAGCTGGATACGGCAGTAATGGGAGGAAAGAGATAGAGAGATGATAGTGGGTGGGTAGAGGGAAAAAAAACAGCAAAGTTGAGTAAAAATGAAAATGCTAGAAAAGGAAGCCGGAGGATGGGAAAAGAGATGAAGGGGGAGCAGTAAGGAATGACAAAAATCTTGTTTCAGCCATTGTTTATAATATTTCAAAACAACTCTCCAATGTCCAACCTGCTTACAAGAAGAGCTTTAGGGTTACTACACTTCCATTAGAAATGCCATTTTCAGGACAATCTGCCTGCCAAATTGCCTACAAATCAACACTATACACAAACATCAAAGTGAATTACAAATCTGTCCCATGACCTGTGCTAGCCATTGTCCTCTTTCAGCCTTTTCTCATGAACCCGTCCTTCTCTACTGGGCGAGCAATGCCACGAACATTAGTACGCTTTTTAACACCAGTAAACAACTGAGCTCCACTCCTGCTTAAGTTTCCACTCATTTCCTGTGTCTTTTTCAAAAATCACTTCCAGCAGAGCTACAACAGAGTGAGATCTGGAGACTCAACAAGCCAAACACACAATCAGGAACACAGCAGGAGAGCGAGCGTCAATCACTAGAAATCACAGCCACTATCACAGGAACACACAAATCAAACAAACAACGAGCCAACAACGCTTCACCTCTGAGCTGTCCTCATCCTCCTCATCACCATGCCAACACATAGTTCGCTCAGATGTGATGACCCAAAGAAACACGAGGAACAGAAACCTTCGGTACACTCCCGAGCTCGGCCAAACAGTTAATGCCACACCGAGAGCAAAATGGGTTTGGGGCGAAAATAAACGATAAAAAGAGATAAAGAGAGGGAGAGTTAAGTGAGGGAGGGAGGGGGGAACGCCTCCGAAAGAGGATATCCGTCCCGACACCAAGCTGCTCAGGCCTTTCCTGTTTCCTCTGCGATTTTGCTGCTGTCAGTGGAGAGCAACCACAGAGAAAAGAGGGACAGAGACTATACATCAAGAACACACGAGCGAGCGAACGAACACGTTTTTGTAATTCACTCCTGGATGTGTGGCAGTAAACCTTTGTGATGTCAACTCTTCCTCAGCTGCTTATGTGCTAATCAGATCTGGCTTGAAGTAATTTGTAACAGCTTTTTTTCTTTTTTGCTCTCACTTGGGTCAGTGATTTAATCTTGAGGGTGGAAACCAGGGAAGGATGCGTTTTCTAAGTATTGGATCAAGGCCAGAGAGTAAGACTGGGACGCGTTTCTGCTGCCTGCTTGACCTCTTATTTCCTTTGGGTTCCACATCTACAAACCCCCTACTGGTTATTCCCCTTCCCCTATAGAAAGACTATGAGATACGGCCAGAGCCTCATCTGAAATTATGATAACATCTCCTCCATGTAAGCAGCAGTGCCTGGAGTTAGTGCCCTAAAGCTAGCCTCCAACATTATCCTCCAAACTAGCAAAGGAGAATTTGGCCTTTACACAGTAACAGTAATCTTTTGCATGTCACACATCAAATACTGGTGGCAATCTGGGTTTTGAGGTGGGATTAATGAATTAACCTGCT